GGTTGCCTTTGTTCCATAGACTTCAGTGGAAGCACATAAAAAATGCAGTGCTTGTGTTTTTTTTGAGGCATGTTTGCTGGCTTCCCGCACACGACATCAGACTCCTCCCAAAAATGCAAAACACATAAAAAATGCATTAAAACGTGTCAACAAAACCACAAAATGTATAAACTGCAATCTGCATAGGTAAGAACCTAGCTTAATGTAACATGAGTTGCAGCTACAGTCAGTTTCAGCAGGGGTTCCCAAAGACTGGGATATTATTTCAAGAGTTCCTCTGTGTTGAAAAGGTGGAGAAAGGCTGCCATACAGGCTGGCCTAGATTTCATGTAAGATGCCGTAGTGAGCTGGTGAATGGTGCTACTATGCAATGGTATGAAAATAAGGATCGTCATCATCACACCTTGCTATAGTGATAGGCGTGTCCTTTATTTACATATAGTAATAGGCATCTTAAGCCAGGGCTCAACAAATCCCAGGTCGCCATGGCGACTGCAAATTGCATCTTGCACCTGGGCTACAACGTAGCAGTGGTCTGGATTCGGTCTCTCCATGTGGCATGGTGCAGAAAGGTACAGCTCTCATTTGAGGGAATCAGCACCCTCCTCTACTGGGCAGAGCTGTGATGAGCGTGGCGTGCCTCGCACTCTGACTGTGGGCTTCCCCTTGTTCCCACTGCCTGCCTACCTCCGACATCTCCTTCCCAGTTTGACAGCTGGGTGCTGGGACTGCAGTTACGAGTGCCAGATTCTGAGTGAGTGGACATGGAGTGTGGGGCAGCTATCGCTTCAGTTCATTTTATACCAAAAACATACACACACACATGCATTTGAGTTGGGTAACAGAACATTATCCGTGCAGCCCCATCAGTGCCCCCTTTCAGTGTCCATCAGGGCCGCCTGACAGTGCCTCCTCATTAGTGCCATCAGAGCACATCAGTGATGGAGATAAAATACTTGTTTGCAAAATTTTGAACTAAAGAAAACTATTTGTTTGGCGTGAGCAATTCCTATTGTCTGATGCCCCGGACATGCAGTTCCCGGCACCAGGCAGCCAATTTAAAAAGCTGGCTTCTAGATTCAAAGCAGATTTGTCAAGCCCTGTCATAAGCTGTTCTTTCAGGGCCTCGCAGGATCCCTTTTTCAAGGCAGAGTGATAAAGATATCCTGCAAACCATTTACTTTTCTCCAGTCAAAGCAATACAGCTAGGCCAAGGCTATGGGCAGCGAGGGAGCAGCTACTAGCAGATGAGGTCATCTCTGTGTTCTCCAGCTCTACATGTCTTCTTCGGTGTTTGGTATCTTCAGCCATCTTTATTGGCAGGCCTGAGATGACGGAGCGTCTGCATGCGTGCACGGGAGTTACTTTGTCCCACCTCCTACGGCATGCCAAATTTGTACATGGAGCTCTTCATGCAGCTCATTGTGCAATCTTTACCAAACTGCTGTCAGGCAAAGAAGGAGATTTTATTACACGAGATATATACAGAGTCTCATTTGTAATAAAAGCCTACATGTTAGCATTTTTACAAAGCCTTTAGTTCTGCTTTAAGTATTGTTTAAAGTGGAACTGAAGTTAAAAAATGTAAAAATTGCAGGCAGGCTTTTTATTGATGCGTATTTTCTGCAAGAACACAAACTTGCCTGCCTGTTCACAAGCGTCTTTTGAATGTACACTGAGCTGCATACCTTGGTCCCGGATTGAATAAACTCCTGTGCACATGCATGGAAGTTACATCATTTTCCCAACAGTCAATCAAGACAGCTGAAGGCCTTGCACACAGAAGAAGCCAGGGAAAAGAAGATGGTGCTGACCTTTGCATTTTTTTTTTTTTTTTTTTTTTTTTTAGGTTGTATCACTCTATGGTGAACCCCTATATAAGGGGTAGGAACTCTGGAGAGGTAAAAATGTACCTGAACAACATGGAGTGCAGGAATTGAGAGCACTGCAGAATTCAGGTGTATCTAATACAGATGTTGGTAGTATAGAATGCAGGAGTCAGGAGTAAATGCAGGGGTCAGGAGTGACACAGTGCAGTGGTCATACATACTTATTGCAGGAGTAAGTAACACAGAGTGCAGGGGGCAGACATAAGTGATCAGGAGTAAGTAAGGCAGGGGTCAGGAATAAGTAGTACAGGGGTCATGAGATAGTAATGCAGAGTAAAGGTGCCAGGTGTAAGTAACGCAGAGTGCAAGAGTCATTATGGCGTCTCACAGGTACAGTATGTAACCTCCCCCCAAGTACAAATACCCTCTTCCAGTACAAGCATCTCCCCCTAAGCTGAAATTCCCCCCTTACTCCTTTGCTGAAATATAATCAAAGACCTCAGATGCAGTGGTGAGGAAAATCTTTCCAGGCATTCCCCAGCTGTGTCATATGAAACGTCAGAGCTGAGGAGGAGCTTACGACTTCAATTGGCTTTGCAATTGCCGCTATAATCTGAGGTCTGACTCTGCTTCTCTTTGCATGAAAAGAGTTGAGGCATGTTGCACTTGGGCTGGGATAACTGTTATGGTGTTCAGAATGTCTCAACTGCCTTAAATTGTATAAGTATGTTATACCTGAAACCCCATAGGCTAGGAACTGGGGTTGTAATATTGCATAATATACATTTCACAACAAGAACTACATTTTAATACACCAGTTCTTTCTAAAACTAGCATAGTCTAAAAACCTCACAATAGCAAAAAAAGTGTGTGTCTCTTTTTTTAGTAACTCACAATTATGTTCATTTTTCCAGTTTTATAAGATTTTTAGAAAACCGTGATGTATAAAAACTGCCATGCTTGGCTTAACCATGTCAGTAGTTGTTGGTGGGCAGTGAGGTTGTGGACTGTTGGTATGTTATTGGACTAGAAATTAGGCCTGTTGTCAGCCTGGGCCTAGAATATAAGAAGCTTCCCATTCACACAAAAATTGATTTAAACATTTAGTTGCTACTTGCAGTTATCACAACTTTAGCAGTGTTCCTAACTTTGGGCCATATCTATGGATCAATGTTTGTGAAATCAAAATTTCTTAAGTAGGTAATCATTCACTGGTGATCAAAGAGGTTCTTCAACCTTTTTGAAAAAAAAAAAAAAAAGTCAGCAGCACAAGTACTATAGCTGCACTTTTATTAAAAGGACACTTGCATGTCCAAGGATCCAGCACCATTCTCACCCGTACCAGTGTTTTTTTTTGCCAGTCTTTGGGTCCCCGACTCCAACATATTTGATGTGGGAAGCCAGCTGTGGCTCCTTGCGGCTTCACAGCCAGCTTCCTACTGCTGTGTTGCACTGTGTGAATGGTCCTGCAGCCTGCTGAGACCTGTGACATGTCCCAGAAAGCTGTGGAGGGAATCAAACTGCTGGTAGAATCACCTAGGTGATCGCACTGGACATGGGAGTGGGCATCTACCAAAACTAGGTATTCGCTCCCTCCCAAAAAATAAAAACATCCAAAAGTGTTACAGGGGGGCAGGAGGAAGACATAAAATGGAAACTCCCTTTTTTAGGGTGGAGTTCCACTTTAAGCATTCCCAGTAATTTATAACACACACCAATGATTAATCTGCATTAAATATAGTGAATTTCACATTTACGGCTTAATAAATAAGCGAGCAGCTCTTTGTCCATGATCTTTTCCTGGTGTAGTGTAGGGCAAACTGAGCAACCATTTCATATTTACAGTACATTTGATACAGGTTGTAACATTTCCTAAGCTCCAGTTATCTACCCGTCTTCTGATTTTCATGGTTATCACATATTGGATATTAGTCCTCTGATTATCATCACAGATTTGATAGGATGTAAATGCGTTTGTATTCAGCTAATCATTTTCATCATTGGCCAACTCTTAAGATTCAGATTTTAATGACATATGTAATGTTTATGGTCCCCTTCACATTGGCAGCAATGACAATAGCTGTGCAAGGAAAACATCCTCACGCACAAAGCTTTGCCTACATTGGACTGCTCACAGACTGTGATTTGTATCGTGTTTGGATGATAGCCAAAGACCAGAACCAGATTCTGAGATACTGTATGTAGTTTCTTCACAGGTAATGTTAGTTTTGAGACTACAGACAGAAGTCATGCATTAACCACTTGCCCTCCAGATGATTTCCCCCCCCCCCTCCTGACCAGGCCATAATTTGCGTTATGGTGCTGCGTTACTTTGACAATTGCGTGGTCACGCAATGCTGCACCCAAGTGAGATTTACGTCCTTTTTTTTCCCCACAAATAGAGCTTTCTTTTAATGGTATTTGATCACGTGTGGGTTTTTTTTTTTTTTTTTTTTTTTTTTGCACTATTTAAAAAAAAAAAAAAAAAACGACAATTTTGTGAAAAAAGCAATATTTTGGACTTTTTGCTGCTAAAAATGTCTAGTAAAAAAATTTAGCAAATCAAATTTCGTCATATATTTACACCAAAATGTATTCTGCTACATGTCTTTGCTAAAAAAAATCCCAATATGTGTAAATAATCGGTTTCCGTGAAAGTTATAGTGTTTACAAATGACGGTATATATACTGGATTTTTTCTTTTCTTTTCAAGTAATGGGGGCGATCAGCAACTTATAGCGGGACTGCAGCGGGCATTCTGACACTGGGGGGGGACTGACTTGGTGTCACTGACATCCCCAGTGACACCAATACAGTCATCAGTGTTAATAAAAAGCACTCACACGGTACTAATGGCACTGGGCAGGAAGGGGTTAACATGTGGGGCGATCAAAGGGTCAACTGTGTGCTGTTTTACATACTGAGCTGTGTTTGTGCTTCTCATACAGGGCAACAAATGATACCAACATGATCACATCCTGTGCAGGTAAAAAACACAAAGTGCAAGTAGGAAGGTTTAACCACCTCCCGCCCGCCATATAGTAATATGACGGACGCAAGGTGGTTCTCTCGTTCTGGGAGGACGTCATATGACGTCCTCCCACTCTCATCGCACGCTCAGGGAGGGAGCGCGCAGCACGGCGATTGGCGGTGCGCTGTGTCCATTGGACACAGCGGATCACCGATCACAGAAAGAGCCGAAGATGTCGGCTTGGTCATGTGATCAGCTGTGTCCAATCACAGCTGATCACATGTAAGTAGGGAAATGCCGGTCATCGGCATTTCTCTCCTCTCGAGCTGTCACGCTGACAGCTCGAGAGGAGAGGAGAGCCGGTAATCGGCTTTCCGCGGAGGGGACATGTACACTGATCGTCAGGGCACTGATGATCAGTGTGCCCTGATGATCAGTGTAGCCCCAGCAGCGCCACCTGTCAGTGTCAATCAGTGCCTTGTGGCAGTGCCCATCAGTGCCACATCAATGCCACATATCAGTGCCTACCAGTGCACATCAATGACACATCAGTGCCCATCTGAGCTGCCTTTCAGTGTCACCCATCTGTGCCAGTCAGTACCACCTATCAATGCCTATCAGTGCTGCCAGTTAGTACTAGTCAGTGCCGCCTATCACTGCCATGTATCAGTGCTGCCTTTCAGTGCCCATCAGTGATGCCTGTCAATGCCCATCAGTGCCTCCTCATCAGTGCCACCTATCAGCGCCCATCAGTGCAGCCTCATTAGCGCACATCAGTGAAGGAGAAAAATCACTTATTTACAAAATTTTATAACAAAAACTAAGAAAAAACATTGTTTTTTTTCAAAATTTTCAGTGGTTTTTGGTTTGTTTAAGAAAAAATAAAAAACCCAGAGGTGATTAAATACCACCAAAGGAAAGCTCTATCTGTCACAAAAAAATTATAAAAATTACATATGGGTACAGTGTTGCATGACCGCGCAATTGTCATTCAAAGTGCAACAGTGTTGAAAGCTGGAAATTGGCCTGGGCAGGAAGGGGGTATAAGTGCCCTGTAGGCTAGTGGTTAAAATGCCTTTCAATGGCTATTAAGACATTTCCTTTCCATAGCAGTGGAAACTAAGCAGCTATATACCAGTGGTCTCCAAACTGATGCAGCCCTTTGCATGCTTTTATCTGGCCCTTGGGGTACTATTTCATATACTGATACCAACAATTGGGTATAATTCCCCCCACTTACACCGATGAAGGGGGCACAACTCCTTCCAATGACATAAACGATGGGGCACAATTCCTCTTAGTGACACAAATTATGTGGTCCAATGACATCATTGATGGGGCAAGAATTTCCCTCACTGACACTAAATAATGGGGCATTATTTATTTCCACTGACTTCAGGACTTTTTCTACTCCCACAGTCCAGCCCTCGTCTGAAGGTCCATAAACTGTCCCTTTGTTTAGAAAGTTTCGGGTTTACCCTGATATACCATATTAGCTGTGAGGTTTATCTCCCAATTCTTTGGGGGCCTATATTTTTTATTTATATGTAATATATATATATATATATATATATATATATATATATATACATATACACACATCACTGTGTTTAAATTCAACTTGTCTGCTCTCATGCAATCATTAGTCTTCACACATAGGCAGCCTACCTTCCTTGTCCTGGTTGGAGACATGCTATCTATACTTTAGCCCTACTTACATTGGGCCTGTTTGTTGCAATGCACTAATGTAATTACTGAAGATCATAAATTGCTACAAAAGACATATTTTATGACTCCTGGCAGTGAAAACTAGGAATCTTTATGTGGCGCAAATACACCTGGTTTTCAGTCCTCATCAGCAGATACAGTGCAGGTGCATACTTCACTTTAAAAGTACTGCTATTTTTAACCACTTTCTGCGTGATGTATGAATATATATACGTCCTTGAAAAGTGGTGGTGATATACGAATCGTTGCAGCCATGATCCAGATATTCTTTTCAGCCAGTGATTCACTTTCTTGTAAAAAAATGATCTGAGCAGCTATACACCCACCCAATCATTTTTACAGGCGGCAGAAGGGGTCCCTATTACACACTTTTTTTTTTCTTTTTTTTACTCAGGTACATTATCTATATCAGTGACTGTTAACTTGTGATCTGCCTGACACTTTCTGCTCATCAGCTATCCTTATTGTTAGTGTATTTTAAATGTAGCCCAAGATAATTCCTCCTCTTCCAATGTGACCCAGGAAAGTCCAAAAGGTTGGACACCCCTGCTGTAAAGTAAGATTGCTTTCACAAATATAGTTTAATTGTTTATTTTTATCAATTTACAAAGTGAGTGAACAGAAGAAAAATCTAAAAATCAATATTTGGTGTGACTAGCTTTTAGTTTCAAACCAGAAGTGAACTCCCAAAACCTCCTGGGACCCATCACGAGGTTCAGGGCCATCAGAAAGCACAGCAGGTCTCACACGTGCACAGTGGGGAGTCTGGTGTGAGCCAGCAGGAAGTCACAGCTGGCATCCCACAATCAACATGATGGCACCAGGGACCCAAAGACTGACAATGAACTGGGCAAGGTCTTTTTTTTTTTTTCCCATGGGATTTGTTTACTTTAACCGGCAATTGATCAGTCATGCAACAATGTACCCAAATTAAATTTATATCATTTTTTTTTCACTCAGAGCTTTCTTTTAGTGGTATTTAATCATCACTGGGTTTTTTTTTATTCCTTTATTATATAAACGAAAAAAAACCCCAAAAAACAATATTTTCTACTTTGTTATAAAACATATTCAACAAAAATATAAAAAAAAATCAAATGTCTTCATAACTTTAGGCCGAAAATGTATTCTGCAGCATGTTTTTGGTTAACCACTTGCCCTCCAGAGGATTTACCTCCTTCCTGACCAGGCCATTTTTTTGCGATACGGCGCTGAATTACTTTATCTGATAATTGCGCAGTCATGCAACGCTGTACATAAATTACATTTATGTCCTTTTTTTTCCACACAAATAGAGCTTTCTTTTGGTGGTAATTTAAACACTTCTTCATTTATTTTTTGTGCTATAAACACAACTTTTTGCTATAAAACATATTCAGTAAAAAAAAAAGTAACCATCAAATTTTGTCCTAAATGTAGGCCAAAAGGTATTCTGCTACATGTCTTTGCTAAAAAAAAAAAAAAAAATCCCAATACATGTAAATTAGATGTGTATACTAGTAATTGCGGTGATCAGTGACTCATTGCTGAACTGCGGCGGGCATTCTGACACTGGGTGGGAACTGACTAACTGCCACTGACATCCCAATGACACTGATACAGTGATCAGGGCTAATAAAAAGCACTGACACTGTACTAATGACACTGGGCAGGAAGGGGTTAACATCTAGGGTAATCAAAGGGTTGGGTTACCTGTGCTCCTTTACATAATGTGCTGTGTGTGTGTGTTTTCCTAGGGAAACTGTGCAGAGAAAAACACAGCAGCATGTTCTTGCTGGCAGAAGAGAGACCTGTGTTTACACACAGGTCTGTCCCCTGTCAGTTTTACTCGGTGATCACTGGATGCTGGCAGGAATCTCCGGCCGGGACCCAGTGATTGACACCTGTAGTCGCCAATGGCTGTGCACACTTGCCCGCTACCCGCAAATTGTATGTGTGTGTGTGTGTATATATGTGTATATATATATGTGTGTGTGTGTATATATATGTGTATATGTGTGTATATATATATATATATATATATATATATATATATATATATATATATATATATATATATATATATATATATATATATATATATATATATATATATATATGGATTTTGTGCAGCCCTGCCTCCCTGTAGCTATAGGGTGGTGGGCAAGCCGTTAAAAAAAAAAAATCCCAAATAAGTGTATATTAATTGGTTTGTGTGATAGCCAACAAACTATGGTGTGTATATATGCTGGAATTTTTTCAGCCATAGACACTATACTGGTAAAGGTGAAATCTGCGACTTATAGTGGGACTGTGATAGTGTGGTGGGCTATGTGGCTCTAACAGACTCTGGCTGGGAAGGACACTGACACTGATGTCGCTAGTGACACTAATACAGTGATTAGATCTACCGCACACTGTACTAATGACACTGGCTGGGAAGGGGTGAACATCTAGGGGCAATCAAGGGGTTAACTGTGTGCCTGACAATGTGTAAGGAGTGCTGTTCTAGGTGTGGATTTTTTTTTTCTTCTTGCTTTTCAGGGAGATGAAACAGCCAGACCTCTCGTTTGTAAACACAACTTTGTGCTGTGATTGGACTCAGCCAATCAGCTGGTTTCAGCCAAAATCATTGGCTGAAACCTGCTGAAAAACCCATGCTATATCCCATCACAGCACAGGTCAGCCTGGCCCAGAAGCCTGCTGGCGACGTATATTTACACCACATAGCCTGCCTGTACCACCCACCCGCAGTATATGTGCAGTGGGCAGGCAGCAAGGGGTTAAAGTATCGTTTTCTCTACGGCTTTGTAATATACAGTAATTTAATGTCATGTTTCCATCTACCCATTATTGGTGTATGCCTAGACTCTTCAAGCTGCCTCAGGCTATTTACATTCTTCATTCTATTTTATGGTGTGCACACAACCAGTTGCAGAGCCACCTTTGTCTCACCTCTGAAAAGTTTGTGTGTAAAACTAATCACTTACACTAGAAGCAGGAAGAACTGGGACACGGGGAACTAAAAATAGAAAGCTGGCATTTCAAATCGGAGAGGTCAATAAAAGCAAAACCTCTGAATGGAAATGAGTCCGTATACAAAGCAAAGCCTATGCCTACCTATTGATCTCTCCAGAGATTTTTTTTCCAATGTTTAACACACACTATAGTGTTCTATTTCATTTAGAAATCACAATAAGTCCATTTAATGATGTATCTAGCCAAAAAAGCTGATCCTAAGAATGGGTGCTTTTGGGGAGACATGGGCAGTCTTAGCTGCCTGGAAATGAAAGATCTTAAAGCGGTATTCAACCCAAAAACAAGAATGAAAAATAATGCAGCGTACCAGTCCTTAGATGTGTTGGCTACATTGTGTTTTTTTTTGTTTTTGGTTTTTTTTTTTTTTTTTTTTTTAGGATTGTTTTTTAGATTCACCTAATCTGGCTAGTAACACAGTTCTTGTTTTAGGGTGGCTACACTCTAGATGAAAGATCAACAGAGGCGCCTTTGGACAGCAGCATGGGGAGAGGGGGGATTGTTAGATGTGCTAGAAGATTTAGGTAGATTTGACTGACAAACTCCACATAGAGTAGCTACATCAACAGTGTTCATTTTTTTTTTAAAACTATTTTTTTTAATCTTTTTTGGCTGGTTAAACATAAATGAATAAAAGCTGACCATTGTAAGGACCCCTGTCAGTGTTAAAAGGACCTTGCAACCCTCCAACTGCCACTTTTGCTGGACAGCTAAAGGCAGGTGAAAAATTAGCACGTACTGGCCTGATCACCAGTTGAATTTAAAGGAAAAAAGTCTAAAAAAGAAAATGAATACAGTCGCCACAATATAATAACCTGCAATATAATGTGTTTTTTGGTTTATTATTGCTTTAAATAAAACCTGTTTATCAGTTCTGTGCAGGAAAGAACAATCAAACTGTTGTTGTTGTTGTTAATAATTTTTTTTTAATCTGTTTGACATATTTTTAGGATTCATGAACAAGTCACACATTTTATGGTTCCTGGAGGTGATATACAGGCAGTCCCCCGGGTTACAAACATGATCTGTTCTGTAGGTTTGCTCTTAAGTTGAAATTGTATGTAAGTTGGAATGGGTAAATTGTTTTACAGTTTTTAAGAATTAAAAAAAAAAAATACTTTTTTTAGATAGCATAGGGAAGGGTTAACACCCCTGTAACGTTTGCTTTGCTGTCTGTGCCCCTGTAAAGTACATTTTACCTCCCTTTCTGTCCCTGTGACAATCCGATTTTGAAAATTGTTGTGGAAACAAGGATTGGTGATAAAGCTTCAGTGGAGACACCTTTTTCCCATGATGACTTTTACAGGAGTGACATTCCATTCCTAGTGGTAGATTTCCTCTCACTTGTTGTCTCCCTCCGTTTGTAAGTAGGAGTCATATGTAAGTTTGATGTATGAAACTCGGGGACTGCCTGTATTAATGAGGAGGTTAGGGAAGGAGAACAGGATCCAAGCTGCAGGGCTTCCCACTTACCAGACTTGAAATGCTTTACTGGTGTATTCCACATGAAGTCTCACACTGAAAATGGGTTTTATAGTAATACCTTTTGTATGCATTTCTCTTGTGTCCTCTGTTATAAAAGATCCGAATACATCTCATAACCGAAAATGAATGCATATATATAGGGGGCCACACTTTCCTGCTCAATACCTCTGCCAAACACAGCTGTAGTTTACCAGTTCCCCTAGTTTCCTTTTGTTGGTAATTTGATTAACTGAGAACCCCGACTTGTGATACAGGAGTCAAGGATGTTCAATTCATATCGCCCAACACCTGGGACATGTAGTTTTTGTTTTTTTACCTTTTCGCCCTGCTGCGTGCAAGCAGCAGGGCTCATCTGTCAGGCTGACACCCGATTGCTTCCTCACAGCCCACTATGGTGCCAGCCTTCACGCCCATGCCTGCTATGTGTCCGGGGCTCTGCTTGCCCATCTGCGGGCCCGGGACCAGTTCAGTGGGTGCCAGCGGGTATAGGGGAAGGAGGAAAATGGACACATCCGCTCCCCTTCCTTTCTTGTCTTGACTCGGGTGATGTGATGTCACTTCTGGGTCCCCGTTGACAGATTCCTGGCCATCGAGGCCAGGAAAGAATGTAATGCAGTGCTATGTACACTGCATTACGTACAGGGGAGACATCCAGTGTCTTTTAGACCCTGGATGTCTCAATAAAGAGAACTGGCCACCAAAAAATCCCGTAGGGGACATTTTGTCCCCTATGTGATTTAAAAAAAAAAAAAAAAAAAAAAGGTTAAGTAAAAAATATTTTTTTTGAATTTTTAAACTTACACCCAAGCATATAACCCCCCCTACCTGAAAACAACGATTGCCATACATGTTACATATCGCTGCGCACGCCAGAATGAGGGCAATAATTCTAGCACCGGACCTCCTCTGTAACGCTAAACTGATGACCTACAGTATCTCCCAGAAGTAAGTAATTGCGCGGTCATGTAGCGCTGCACCCAAATGAAATTTCCGTTCTTTTTTTTTTTTCCCATGAATTGAGCTTTCTTTCGGTGGTATTTGATTGCCTGTGCGGTTTTTTTTGCGCTATAAAAAAAGACAATTTTGAGAAAAAAAAACAATATTTTTGACTTTTTGCTATTAAACATGTCTAGTAAAAGAAATAAAAAAAAAAAAATCAACTTTCGTCAATGTATTCTGCTACATGTCTTTGCTTAATAAAAACAAAAAAAAAAAAAAACCCAATACGTGTAAATTAATTGGTTTACGTGAGAATTATAGCGTTTACAAGTGGCAGTATATAACATAAAAATAGTGCAGCGCTGAAAATAATGACAAAATGACAAAAAGGTAGTCCACTAAAAGTCTATGACATATAAACGTATCCAGTGTCTGATGTGGATTCAGAATAGGTGATCCGTGTGGAAATGGCTGGAAAACGCACTCACCAGAAGTAAGACACATAAACGCAGTGTGTATATAAGACTCGAGGATCTTCAATCCAGAGGGAAGTAAAGCTGATCCAGTTACAGGAATGGTGAATCCCTCCTCCGCAGATGCAGCAACCGATCTTCCTTAACACGATTAGATGTAGAATTCCAAGACCAAGGTTCTGCAAGCAAAAGCTCCTCAAGGGAGTTTTAGGGAAGGACACCCATAGTGAAGTAGGTAATAAAAGGCAGCTTTATTCACAATAATGATATCCAATTCAAAGCAGGCAGGTATCATACAGATGTGTCAGCACGACAACTAACCCTGATACTTTGAATAGTGGCCGCCGGGCCACTATTCACGAGCGGCCACTATTCAAAGTATCAGGGTTAGTTGTCGTGCTGACACATCTGTATGATACCTGCCTGCTTTGAATTGGATATCATTATTGTGAATAAAGCTGCCTTTTATTACCTACTTCACTATGGGTGTCCTTCCCTAAAACTCCCTTGAGGAGCTTTTGCTTGCAGAACCTTGGTCTTGGAATTCTCTACATCTAATCGTGTTAAGGAAGATCGGTTGCTGCATCTGCGGAGGAGGGATTCACCATTCCTGTAACTGGATCAGCTTTACTTCCCTCTGGATTGAAGATCCTTGAGTCTTATATACACACTGCGTTTATGTGTCTTACTTCTGGTGAGTGCGTTTTTCCAGCCATTTCCACACGGATCACCTATTCTGAATCCACATCAGACACTGGATACGTTTATATGTCATAGACTTTTAGTGGACTACCTTTTTGTCATTTTGTCATTATTTTCAGCGCTGCACTATTTTTATGTTATTGCTTTTAAGTATATTGGTTGCTTAGAGTGCCTAGCCGCTTTCAGGATTAGCGCTCACTGCTGTTTCTTTTCATTCAAGTGGCAGTATATATTCTGGGATTTTTTTTTTTAATAGTAATGGCGGCGATCAGCGTCTTATAGTGGAACTGCGGCGTGCATTCTGACACTGGATGGAACTGATATGGTGTCCCAATCCTCTTCTTCTGGGGTACACTGCCGGTGCTCCTAGCTCCCCCCCATCTCCGTTAGTACCCCCTCAGCAGGCCACTTGGTGGGGGTAATTATGTAAGCTCACTCCCAAGCCCCACTGCCTGCGTCCGTTTGCCCCGCCCCTCTTTGTCATCATAGTATTTGATTGACAACAACAGAATTTTGCTTGCCTATACACTTACGCAGCTTTACGCGCTATACACGTGTTTACGCAAGGTCTTTATGGAACATTTTTACTCAGGATCTTGCATCCTGAGTATAAACATCAGTAAATTATTACACCCGTGTGCAACTGGCCTAAGGCTTTAGAACAACTTTAAAGCTACCTGCCTAGTTGGACTGTAATTAGTAAAACATGAATCAGAAAGGGAACAAGTCACACAGGCTCCCAGTGACCTTGAGAGGTTCTCTCTAGAATAGATAACTGCAGTAGACTACTGATAACTACAATTAATGGAAATTAACCACTTCAAGTCCAGACACTTTTCCCCCCCTTCCTGTCCAGGCCAATTTTCAGCTTTCAGTGATATATACTTTGAATAACAACTGCGAGGTCATGCAACACTGTACCCATATGACTGTTTTTTAGTATTTTTTTGAGACCGATAAAACTTTATTTTGGTGGTACTTATTCACCACTGGGATTTTTATTTTTTTGCTATATAAATGAAAAAGTCCAAATATTTTGAAAAAAAAGTGTTTTTCTTATAAAATTTTGCAAATAAATCTTTTTTCATAAATCATGGCCAAAATATATTCAGCTATCTTTTTAGTAAAAAAAAAATAAATAACCCAAATTAGTTTATAACCAAAAATTATAATTTTTCAAAAAATTATTTTACATTTTTATTTTTTTTTATATATTTTTGTTTTTTTTACATACTGTCATCCTAGCAGTAAAGTGTCACCATAGTGACACTACTACTTGTGGGGGGTGATGATTTTTTTTTTTTGTATACGCTGATTGCTTTTACACCCATAAAGGCTGTAAAAGCAATCATTTCCCCTCTCTTGCTCCATTCTTGCAGCCATTGAGAAATACTGTGAGAGCTGTGATTGGTCACAGCTTGTCACATGGTACAAGCTGTTGTGACTAGCCTTGTACCATGTGACCTCTGTGATCATTCACAGGTTTTATTAGTAGTAAGCAATGTGTCAGCAAATGACATCTTGCCTACTACTATTCATGTAATCACTGAGTGGCCAATCAGCGATCACATGATCGGGACCTCACACAGAGGTCCCGTACAGCAATCGGTGCCGTGCGTTCCCAGGGAGCGTGAACAGGCAAGGAATGCAGGGAGTACGTTTATAAACGGCTCCTGCACTGCTCCCATCCAGCCGTTTATGTACATGAGCCGGATGGGAAGTGGAACATGTTCTGTAAGGTCAGTGCTTCTCAATTATTTTCTGTCATGCCCCCCCTAGGAAGAAGAAAACATTTTGCGCCCCACCGCGCGACTGTAAATAGTATCATTTGTCTATAAAATTGTTATAAGTAGGAATAGTAGGAAAAGTGCCCATCATTGGTGTCAGTAGGAATAGTGCCCCATCGTTGGTGTCAGTGGGAGGAATAGTGCCCCATCGTCGGTGTCAGTGGGAGGAATAGTGCCCCATCGTCGGTGTCAGTGGGAGGAATAGTGCCCCATCGTCGGTGTCAGTGGGAGGAATAGTGCCCCATCGTCGGTGTCAGTGGGAGGAATAGTGCCCCATCGTCGGTGTCAGTGGGAGGAATAGTGCCCCATCGTCGTGTCAGTGGGAGGAATAGTGCCCCATCGTCGGTGTCAGTGGGAGGAATAGTGCCCCATCGTCGGTGTCAGTGGGAGGAATAGTGCCCCATCGTCGGTGTCAGTGGTAGGAATAGTGCCCCATCGTCGGTGTCAGTGGGAGGAATAGTGCCCCATCGTCGGTGTCAGTGGTAGGAATAGTGCCCCATCGTCGGTGTCAGTGGTAGGAATAGTGCCCCATCTTCGGTGTCAGTGGGAGGAATAGTGCCCCATCGTCGGTGTCAGTGGGAGGAATAGTGCCCCATCGTCGGTGTCAGTGGGAGGAATAGTGCCCCATCGTCGGTGTCAGTGGGAGGAATAGTGCCCCATCGTCGGTGTCAGTGGGAGGAATAGTGCCCCATCGTCGGTGTCAGTGGGAGGAATAGTGCCCCATCGTCGGGTCAGGGGAGGAATAGTGCCCCATCATTAGTATCAGTGACACCAATGATGCGGCACTATTCCTCCCACTGACACCAATGACACTTGCTGACCCCTGGTGCAGTATGGTGCTGCTGCAGCCAGCATATGTGGTTGCAGCAGCACCTCTGCACTGCACACTTACCGGCTTTTCCCTCACTCGATTTCTGCGGGTCCGCTCGGCTCTGCCTCCTCGCCCGTGATTGGCCGCCTGTGTACCTTTCCTGAGCTACAGTTCTGGCGGCCAATCACCGGTGAGGAGGCAGAGCCGAGCGGCAGGAGTGAGGGAGTGGCTGGAGTGACGGAAGGAGCAGCGCTTCCTGATGGGAGCCAGGTAAGAGACAGCAGCCCTCTGCCCACCCCTGTACGCGCCCCCCTTGACGGAGCCTCGCGCCCCACTATTTGAGAAGCACTGTGTAAGGTGAACGTATCCTTTAATCATCTGTGTTGGGTAACATTTAATGTTTCTGCTCTTGCAGCTCTAAACCCCCCACTCTTTGGTTGTCACAATTTGAAAAGAGCAAGGTTGTAGGGGGCTCCGCCCCCACGGTCACATCATTCTTCACAAGCAGTTCTGCAGGTGTAGTAGTTGGAGAGCTGAGACAAACCATTCAATACCGAATGGGGTGCTTACAATGATCCGTTTTTATGTAAAACCTTTATAAGAATTTACAGCAACCGTCTTGTCCCTTTTGAGATAAAGTGTTAGACTAGGTTCACACCGATGAGTTTTGCAGTGTGTTTTTTCGATTTGCATTTACCATGATTTCCTATGGATCACGTTAACATCTGTGTGTTTTCAACCAGTGTTTTTTTTTTTTTTTAAAATATAAAGGGTCGGACTTTTTTTGCTCAAAACAGATTGTGTTTTTTGGTTCCATAGACTTCAATGGAAACACATGTACAGGCATTTTTGGTGTGTTCTTGGTGTTTGTCTTGCATGACAAAAGATTCCTCCCCCTAGCAACATTACCACATCCCAAAAACGTGAAAACTGCAAACCGCATTGCAAAATGCACCAGAAAAATGCATCAACCGCAACCTGAATAGGTGTGAACCTAGCCTTAGCTAGAATTTTCAGCTTCAATTTGTTAGTGTATCTAAATCTGCTAGTACATCTTACACCTCCCCAGGGGCGGACTGACCATTTGGAAACTCAGGCACTGGCCGACGGCCCGGGGTCAGTAGGGGGCCCCATGAGATGCACATGGTATCTTTTTCATAGGCTTTTTTTAGTTTGGGCAAGGACACAGGGGCCCCATGTTTCCTATTGCCCAGGGGCCCCATGAGTTGTCAGTCCGCCCCTGCACCTTCCTCAACCCAGACTGACAATACTAGGGGCAGTGTAAAACAGGATGTGTTTCACCAGATCACCAGGTAAAAACAGAGGGGAAATGGCCTGAAAAAGAAAACTGATGCAACCACATCTAATGAGTGGTAAACTGCAATATATTAAATTTTTGCTTTTGGGTTCAATACAGCTTTTAAGTGAATATCTTGACTTTACTATAGCTTCATCGTTTGCTGGATAACATTAGTAACTTACTAATTTCTCGTAACCTATCCTGGATTTACCCTTTTACTTGGTTTATTGTGGTTAATAATCCAGTTTAGAGTCCAGTTTTATATTTGAACCTTTACAATAATACCACTTCCAAAATAAAACACTAACAAATCACCCTACAGCACAATCTCCACCTTCACCCCTGAAGGCGCAAACAATAATATCAATGAATATGCCAAAGTATAACAATAAATAAATATTCACACCAATCAAAATAAAAATAAAAAGTGAACACTAAAGTCTAAAATAAAGTTCAAATTCAAAATAAAGAAAAATCCACACAAATGCCTCTCCTGTGTAATAAAGTGATTCAAAATATCCAAATAAACTGAGCCTCCAAGCAGCTTCCAAGACAAGTGTTACCTCAAAATAAAAATAAATAATACATAGTGCATTATCCTTTATATAATCTTATCAACCATATGTGAATTCACTCTAGTGTATAACACACAAGTGATCCTATTCAGTGAAAAATAAGTGAAAAAACGTCCTGGCTCCACTTTCCAAAATGGCCACTGCTTCACTTCCGGTTCCCATGTGCATCTGACATCACGTGCATCTGACATCACTTCCATCTGACGCGTTTCATCATCGGACTGTCATAAGTTATTATGACTAAGTCCGATGACGAAACGCGTCAAGGGAAGTAATGTCAGACGCACACGGGAACCGGAAGTGAAGCAGCGGCCATTTTGGAAAGTGGAAAGGAGCATCTGTAGAAGCCTGGGCGTTTCCTGGATGGCAGAAAGGTTTGAATTAACCTATATAAGGCGGTTTTAAAGGCTATGTCAATGTGAGTGTCAAGATCCGCCAGGCGGTGTCTCTATCAGACCACAGTACGGAGTTCCTCCGGGTGCGGGGTCTAAGTCCCAATCTGCTTATTCACCAGGGCCCCTGATGGTGGGGATGGACTTGGAGCAGACTGAGACCAGGTCGCGACCCCTGAGTACATCCGACAATGGTAGAGCGCACCGTCAGAGGAGTGCGTGGTAAGGAGTCTGATGAGAAGAGGCTGGGAGACCTGGTAACCAGGAACGATCCCTGCGGGATGGATGGATGGATCGTCTGGGTGGCTGGAAGCGTAGTCGGGCAGGCCAGGTCAGCAACGTGCGGGCAGCGAGGTACCGGAGGAGAAGGCAGAGAATGGTCGGGGTCACAAGCCGGGTTCAGTAACTAGCGGACAGCGCGGTACAGAGGGTCAGGAAGAAAGATGGTCAGGCAAGCCAAGGGTTAAGCAGAATACAATCAGCAGGGTCAGGTACAATGCAGAGGTCGGCAATGGACTAACACAGGATCAGGTATCAGGAACAGAGCACAAAAGACCAAACGGCAATTTGACATACCTCTAGTCCCGTTTAAATAGCCCGCCCTGCGCTGTCATTGGTGCCAGGCGCGCGAGTGCTCATGCGCGGCCATCACGATCGCCCAGGTCCCGCTGCTCGCTGGTTAGGATGCATCGGTGTCCTGCGCATGCACCGCCCGCGCATCGCGGCAGGGACACCGATCCCTGACAGTGAACATTTTAAATTAAAGCTTTTTTTATGGTGTTTTTGGCGGTATTACACTATTTATTCCTCATATATGGGCATTTTGATGGGGTATTGTGTAAGGAGGCACATGGAATACTATTACTGATAGACCCAGATATCCTCGTGGGAGTGTGGTAATCCTTGTGGATCTCTCCAGGAGGGCTATGTTTTCATCGTTGTGCATCTGGATGACAATAAGGTGAAATAGTTATTGATTATTGGTAAGGGTAAGGGTATTCTAGAAGTGCACACTTGGATTGAACTTTTGGCACTGAAGAGTGATTCACTTTCATGTTTTGTTTCACTTACTTTTTTTCACTTATTTTTCACTGAATAGGATCACTTGTGTGTTATACACTAGAGTGAATTCACATATGGTTGATAAGATTATATAAAGGATAATGCACTATGTATTATTTCTTTTTCTTTTGAGATAACACTTGTGGAAGCCGCTAGGAGGCTCAATTTATTTGGATATTTTGAATCACTTTATTACACAGGAGAGACATTTGTGTGGATTTTTCTTTATTTTGAATTTGGACTTTATTCACTTTTTTTTTATTTTGATTGGTGGGAATATTTATTTATTGTTATACTTTGGCATATTCATTGATATTATTATTTTTGAACCTGGTTTATTTTTTCACATATGCATGTATTTGGTCATTTGTATCACACAGATGATTGTTAGTCTATCTTAACGTGTATATATATATTTTTTATTATCTTTGTTGGTCTTTATGCATACTTTTATTAAAAAAAGAAAAATAAATAGCCATTGTAGTATACTTGTTACCAAAATTCAACTGACACAAAGAAAACACTAAATTTTCAAGTATATACATCAATATTATTGCAATAAACCAGTTTTTTTTTTAATTTAGGTAAGAAAGGAGTAGGATGTTGTTAGTATGTGTGGAAATATGTTTTCAGGATCTTATGTTGCCATCTCACAGACTTAGCATGTTGCAGCCATAGAAACAGCACCCACGGTTACCACCTCCACATTATTCTGCTACACAAGTGCTTTCTAAATCAGATATGTTTTGTTATAATTGTTCCTTTTTGAAATGGGCAGTTATTTTGACTCTTTTTTTTTTTTTTTTTTTTTTTTGTTATCTAGATATTTTGTTATACTTAAATCCTAATATAATTACTATTTAGAACTAATAAAGTATCACTTCACTGATGCCAGTTTTTAGACACAGAAAACTGAAATCTGTACCACCGTTCCCAAAATATGATGTGTGTGCTTTATGGGGCAGTGTTGTTTAAGGTTCCCATTCACACTTGAGCATTCACCAGGAACATGCTGTGCTCAGGTGTGAATAAATGCTAAAAGGTTACTAGTTAGGTATGATTAAAGCCTAAGTTTTTAGCCCAAAAAAAAAAAAAAATCAGCACAAGGAATATTATACTTCTCAATTGGTCCCTTGTGCTGCTTGCTCTTGCTTTATTCAAAATCTTTCTCCTCCATTTCTCCTCCCACGCTACTGCATTATACAGCTATTTTACAGCTTCTGTGAATGGAGAAGGGGGACAAGCGTGTCTTCCATTAGGTTGCATGGCAACTGAAATATCATCTTTTGTTTGTCATCCTTTCTAAAGGAAAGCTTTACTTGTGTTAAATTGATATAACATATAAAATTGCTACGTCAGATCAGTTTGCAGAGGCTGTGATTTTATAAAATTACCGAAGAATTAAAATGTCGATTCCTTGCGTATGGCAGCAGGGAGGCAATTTTGTACACTGTTGCTACCTCTCACAGAAATCAAATTTCCTGCTTGTGTTTTGGCTCAGTTTTTCCGAGAAGTTACAATGAGATGCAAGTCAAATGCCCATCAGTTATCCACATATTATTTTGAGAACGAACACCAGGTAATGTCCAGGCTATGCACACTATGTAGACTATGCACACTTATATATTCTGAACATACAGAATTATTCCTCATTGATCTCTGTAGCTAGAGATATTGTGAAGAAACGTGTCTTCAAAATGGCAACAGAGGCACAAAAAAAATAAAAAGAAAAATATATAATGTAATTTTTTAATTACTTTCTATTGCACTAAAATCTTGGCAGACTGCCAGCTCTATAATGTAAACACAGGTCTGATGTTTCTAAGCTGCTAGAAACCGAAACCTGACTTTGGAGTCTTTGTTGTGATCTTTGAGGATCTTTAAGGATAAATTACTTCACATTACCAGGAGCTAGAGAGGTCAGGGTTAGTTTGTAGTAAGAAGAATATGTAAATATTTAGATTGGACCGTTCTCCCTTTTAATAAAATTCACATCAGAAGGCATTATTGCATGCTGATGTGAAATGTAACACTGGGAAAAAACTATTTTATTTACTAGCGTTTTATGCATCTATTTCCTGGTTCCCTAGAAGGCACTAGTGATGTAGACCTGGCAGGGCAGATGCCTCCTGGGAAGGCAATGCCACTAGTTCCTTTAGTGAGATCCCATACGTAATACCATACAGTATTATCATGCTGCGCATGTGTGAGATAACGTACATGACATCATGCATATCATCTCATACATATGTCGTATGGTAATAAACTAAATTTTGTTTTTTAAAAACTATGAACATATTATAGCACGAGGAAAGGTAATTGCCTGTTATGTGCATAACAGGGAACAAGAAGCCCGCTTTTGTATTTATGCTGAAAATTACAAAACTACTGAGCATATGATTGGTTGTTATGCAGGAAAAACCCCTCTTCATTCCTTAAAGCCTACCTAAACTTCAAGAACAAAAATGAAATATATTGCAGCATACCAGACTTATGGTCGCTATACTTTTTTGTTTTGTTTTAGGTTTAGATCTGTTTTAGGGCCCTATCACCCGGGCATTCAGTCTGGATCCGTCTAACAGTTTTTCAGACAGATCCAGACTGAACCACAATGTATGTCTATGGGCTGGAGGGTGTAAATGAATGATCATTTGTTCACGTACACTTAAATCCATATCTGTTCCTTTTTCCTTTTGTCCAGATCCAGACTGAACCACAATGTATATCTATGGGCGGGAGGGTGTAAATGCATGATCAATTGTTCACATCCACTTAAGTCCATGTCTGTTCCTTTTTTTGTCTGTTCCAGTGACTAACTTAGAACAAGGATGAGGTTCTCTGAAGTCATGAACAGGGAGGCATCTTAGGGAGGAGGAAGGACATCAGTAATAGAAGCGGCCATGTTTCCCTTTAATAAAGGTTTAATTTACAGCAGTGGTTCTTAGCTAGGGTATGTAAAAAACCTGGGTTCACTTTGAGATGTACAAAGGGGTAGCTTCGAAGTTTTAGTAAAATGGTAAGCAATTGATCGTTTAACCCATTGCCTACCGGGCACTTTTACCCCCTTTGTGCTCATGTCAATTTTCAGCTTTCAGTGCTGTTGCACTTTGAATGACAATTGCGAGGTCATGCAACACTGTACCCATATGACATTTTTTTTTTATCATTTTTTTTTCACAAAAATGGAGCTTTTTTTTTTTGGTGATATTTGATCACCTCTGGTTTTTTTTTTTTTTTTTCTTTCTGTGCTATAAACAAAAAAACGACAATTTTGAAAAAAATATTTTTTACTTTTTGCTATAAAAACATATCCAGTAAAAAAATCTAATTTAGGCCAAAATGTATTCTGCTACATGTCTTTGCTAAAAAAAAAAAAAAAAATCCCAATCTGTGTAAATGAATTTTTTTATGTGAAAGTTATAGCGTCTACAAATGGCGGTATATGTATACTGGAATTTATTTTTTTTAATACTATTATTGGTGGCAGTCAGCGACTTATAGCGGGACTGAGCAGGCATTCTGACATTTGGGGGATACTGTCACTGACATCTCCAGTGACACGAATAGTGATTAGTGCTAATAAAAAGCACTGATACTGTACTAATGACACTGGGCAGGAAGGGGTTAACATCTGGGGCGATCAAAGGGTTAACTGAATGCTTTACTAGGGAGGCATGCTGTTTTATATTGCTTTGCTTGCTGCAGAGCAATACAAAGCAGCATGCTGGAGCTGATAGGGGACAGATCTATATTGTTTACATACAGACCTCTCTGCTGTCAGTGATAGTCGGCGATAAAGAAAAGATCGCTATACGTACCTATTCTGAAGCCGCTCTGGTCTCTAGCGGCGGCTTCTGTGTAGAGAGAGAGCTGGCAAAAGTTTGGAAATGCCTTGGAGTTTACATCACCCATATGCTAAAAATGCTCTCTGCCATATTCTAAACTTCCCGCCTAGCCTACAGCAAATTGACGGCCGGGCGGAACACTTCTCGTTGTAGCAAGGCGTTGTATGATGTCATGTCAAAAGGAGCTGGTCATGCGACTGCGGGGCCGCACAGTGACGCGATCTGTCATCGGCTGTGTCCGGCCGATGACCTATCGCTACACTGGCCGTTGCCAGTGTCATGTGACCACTGTCACCAATCACAGCAGATCACATGTCAATTGTATACAATGGATGGCTTTCTTTATGTTAGCTGTGACTGGTCAAAGCAGTCACATAATACAGACAGGGCCAATCACAGCCCATCTGTATCATGTGATGAGCTTTGCCCAATCACAGATAATCACAACAAAAAACCGAATCCGTTTCATTCAGGAACAATGATTGCAAATATCAATGAAAGACATTGGTATTCGCAATCCTAATGTAATGTGTTAAAACAAAAAAAAAAAAATACTGATCACTTGCCCATAGTAGTTCAATGTTACTATGGTAACAGTGTATTGCTTTGGTCACAGTGTGTGGAAAAAAAATAGTAAAAAGAAAAAATAATGTAATAAAAAAAATAACAAATTAAAAAAAAAATTCATTTATTTTTTTTTTTGCATACTGTCACCAGTCAGCTTCTCTGATCACCGCCGCACCAGTTGTAGAAATAAAAACATATTGGTCACCAATATGCCTTATTATATATTTTCCAACAAATTACAACCTCTAAAAAACTCACTATGCCTCTAAATACCGTGAACTGTTTATTTTCCAAAAATGGGGTGATTTGGGGGGTATTTGTACTATCCTGTCATTTTCGGGCCTCAAGAAATTAGATGGGCCGTCAGTACATCAGAATTGATCAATTGTCAGATACCTTGGTTTGTAGACTCTATAACTTTCCTACAAACTAAATAATATAAATTCATTTGGGGTATTTTCACCAAAGAAATTGAGCAGAATACATTTGACCTAAATTTATAAAGAAATGTTATTTGCAAAATTTTATAACGGAAACGCAGAAACATTTTTTTTTTCTTCAAATTTTTTTTTTTTTTTTTTTAGCAAAAAATTAAAAACTCATTGGTGATTAAATACCACCAAAATAAAGCTCTATTTGTACAATAAAAATATCATATGGGTATAGTTTTGCATGACTGCACAATTGTCATTCAAATGCGACAGCGCTGAAAGCTGAAAATTGGCCTGGACAGGAAGGGGATAAAAGTATCCGGTATTGAAGTGGTTAAGGCATTTGGTGCACAAAAAGTAGATTTATATCCTTTGCTGCTGATACCATATATTATACGAGTTTTCGTGCCTGGAGTTCAGCTTTGAGTAATATGAATAATTTATTTTGCAATTGTTTTATGCAGAAATTTTATAGTGAGGAGTTTGTGTTTCAGATCACTTGAGTTTCAATATATTTTGGATTGCCCTGTTTGTTTAGTATTGATAGCATTTATTCAAAAGAGTTTTTTACAGAAAATGCTTTGAACCGACCTAAACAAAATAGGAAATATCAGTCAATGTGGTTTTCATTTATTGGCAGCAATCAGTTTTTTTTTCACTTAGAATGTCGTCCAGCTAATTTGTTTATTGACCTTCCTTTAAATCATCTGTAGAATTAACCTGTGTATGTACAGTATGAGTGTGAACATGTATAGCCAGGCTTGCAATGCAATCATTTTTGATTTTGAATTCATCATTTTTACTATTATAGGAATCCAAGGATCTTCCAATATGGAAGTGGATGTTAAAGGAGAGAACAGGACTAGCATTTCTGCTGTGCCCCTGTCCAGTACAGTAGAGCGAAATTCTCCATTAAAAGTAGAATCTGAAAAACCTCGTTGCTCTAGCACGCCATGTTCACCAATTCGTAGAACTGTTTCAGGTTATCAGATTCTTCACATGGATTCCAATTACTTGGTTGGCTTTACAACAGGAGAAGAGCTTCTAAAACTAGCTCACAAATGTGCAACTACAGAAGAGAATTCTGGGGAAACTCTACCAACATTTCGTGCCAAGCAACATGACTCGGGACTCTCTCGCTCATCTCGGATATATAAAGCTAAAGGACGACACTATCAGCCATATGAAATTCCTTCAATCAATGGAAGAAGACGTAGACGAATGCCAAGTTCAGGAGATAAGTGCAATAAAGTTATTCCATATGAGTCTTACAAGGCGGCACATGGCCCTTTGCCACTTTGCCTTCTTAAGGGTAAGAGAATGCATTCAAAGTCCTTGGACTACCTCAACCTAGATAAGATGAACATCAAGGAGTCAGCAGATACTGAAGTTTTGCAGTACCAACTTCAGCATCTTACACTTAGAGGTGACCGTGTCTTTGCGAGGAATAATACATGAATCAGAAGTCTACTTTTGTTTGGCACCTGTCTTGTTGCATAGGAAAATGACTTCAGTGCTGCACGTGTAAGGCCTGGTCTCCAATAGTGGCACCTGGGAATGACTTCTCAGTTCAAATCACTTGATCCTAAGCAGCAGAAGATACACCACTTGGTTTGAAAGGCTAGTTCATGTGAATCTGATTTCTAGCCATTTCTAACTCGAAGGAAGAAGACTTTCATCCTAGAACTACTATGGATTACAATTAAATAATTATTTAATTTGTGAATGATTTACATTTATAAGGACTTTATCACTTATAGCTAAAAATGAGTTTCTTGACTATTCCTTTAGATTAAACATGTTGTGTTTGATGAATTTTAGATTAATCAATGGCTGACTCTGGTTTGTAAATAAGTCAGGATTTAGATACTGAACACAGTTGTAAGTAATTGTTTTGTTGCTCATTTTCAGAATGTCTTCAAATGTATATATTAGTTATTAATATATAGTCAGTAATTTGACATTTGATCTCTGGAATCAAATTCAATTTGAATTTGATGGCTTTCTGCTTTATACCCATTTCCCTTTTAAGCCCAGAGCAAGTTACATGTTTACCTTAGTTTTAATATTTAATTTAAATTACAACTGATAATTGAAGAAATTAAGCAATATTTATATTTTTATTTAGTTTGGCAGTGCTTGAACATACTAGCAAAATGTTAAATGCAGTATGTCTCCAATAGCTTTTATGTCAGAAAGTTCCAGTATGGAGTGAATTTATTTAAGGAAAATACAGTTAACACTAAGAAAATTGGCTATATTTCTGTATTCTCTTCTCTCTCCCAGCTGTGGCCTTTACTAGGGCGTTGCGCAGATTGTAGTAACCTAATCAGATGATGCCAAAACCATTCAAGCAGAACTAAAATCTGATTGGCTCTGATAGATAACTGTATTTCTGTTGCCCTTTTTACAGTGATGCTTACTGTATTTATAAAAAGTATTCTAGCAAGAATTTTTTATTGCAGTCAACTAAAATGAGCCTAGTCTGTATTTAAACCCCAAATCTGTTTTCAGTAGGTTTAGCATCATGCCTCACTGTAAACCGTTTTATTAAGCAAATCATTTTTTGTAAAGGGGTCGCAAAGTTTTTTACCTGAGGATATTGTCAGTAACAGCACTTCCTGCTGCGAGCTGACAATGCTAAGGCGCTGCCTGGCAATTAGGATCGGCATTGTCACTCTGCCTTGCTGAGTTTTCACTTGGCTATTGGACTGTATATTTGACTGCAAATAGCTATAATAGTCAGTCAGTATTCGTCAGGTTCAGCAGGGACCAGCCGAGATTCGATCCATCTATGGACAGGCTGATTGTACCCAAGTTGATCCATCAATCGATTTGAGTACAACATTTGATTACTGTCGACTGCTATAGCTGCTAGCAGTAATCATTGTGTTCTGCTGGCCAGGAAGGCTCCCTGCACTCCCATGCCAGCAGAAACAATAGCGCTGTGGGAGGCATTCCCCCATCAACACTGACTATTGATAGGGGAATCAAGGAATTTTCTTATCTTCCACCTATGGTGGAAGGAAAGAAAATCAAGTCATCTCTGGGTTTGTCAGCTTGCACCAGGAAATGCTGGTACTGGCAGATTCTCCAGGTAAGGAACATTGCAACAAATTCACCAAAAATAATTTGCTTAAGAAATCTGTATACAGTGAGACATGATGCCAAACATACCGAAAAATGAATTAAGGGTTTACATACACTGAAAACGGTCACTTCTTCATACGTCCATGGTTTGAAAGTGAAGCAAGGATTCAAATTGGGTCTTATGGGCAACTATTCATTTTCTTGTTCGCACCTTTTTATGTATAAAATCCAATGTTTTTAATTAAAGGTGCATTTATTATGAGGTCGATATTCCAGGCTGGACTAAACGTAGTGTGATGCTAACACTTTGCAATGTGCTATATGGCTACCCAATGCATTGAGCCTGTGAGGATATTAAAGAGTATGTGTGAACTATAGTAATCTATGCCAGCCAATAAGATTTCACCTCTATTGGGTTAGGACAATGAAAGATGATTTGTTAATTTGTTGTTGTGGGCTACAGCACAAAGTATGCTGTTCTTTGCCTTATTAACCTCATCAAAAAGCAAACAAGCTTGTGCAGCTATACTTTTTATCAGGAAAATGTTGGAACGTGTAGATCTCTGACAACTGTCTTACAAAAAGGAAATGAAATGAGTATAGTAACAATTCAGATATTGACAATTCAGTGCCAGATTGGTTGCATCACATTGTGACACATTTGTATGATTTGCTGTACTGCGAGTACAAGTGCATTTGGATGAACCAAATGAAGATGTTGAACAGGCACTGATCAATAAACCAATTATCACAGAAAATATTAGGCTATGTCCCATCTTTTATACTCTGTTTTGTTTTACCTTTTGAAACCAGTCATTGAATTTTTACAAACTGAAAATGTGGGTTGTCATGAATTGACTAAAGGTAGCCAAGGACTTTAAAGTGGATGTAAACCATTACATGTACCCAATGAAGTGACAGGCCTCAGGTGATAGACAGAGCTTAAGCAAATCCTCCTATATATGCTATACCTGTTTATCTGCAGCTCTCTTTCCTCCACAGCTGTTCACAATGCACAGTTGGCACAGCAGTTCTGAGCTCTGAGGCAAGGGGAGAGTATCTGATGTCACAAAGTGCACGAATAGAGCAAGGTTTTTAGTGTAATCTGAGACCTGAGGGAGGAATGGACCCGCCCTCTACACTGTCTCATAGGAAAACATGCACAGCTAAGGCTGTCAATCACCTGCTGTGTGCTGGAGGGCCATCTCCCAGGGTTTTGTGATGTTTGCATAGACTGTTCGAATTATTATACAGTACTTGACTTGTGCAAATAATAAAAGAGTGACAGACCGTCCAGAAACCACACTGCTTCAGATTGAGACAGGGACACACGCTATAGAAGGACATGCTTTGTTTTGTTTTCATTTCAGAGGTTTATAACCACTTGAAGGTTGACTAAGAATGGTCATCCTTGCTTCACCTTTTAAAGGGTCACTGACCTGAAATAAACATGCAGCTAGTAAACTTGGAATTCCCAGCCTGCATACGTGTTCCATCCCAAGGGGCTTGATAGGCAGTGATAATAGTACTGCAGATTGTATGTTACTGCACATTGTAGTAATTTTTGTTTCACTGCACCTCACTACAACACATAGGTGTGAAGACAGGCTTACACATGTACGTGTGTGTTTGTATTTATTTTTTGGCAAGTTTTATGATAAACTACCAAAAATTAAATACAAACATGCTTAGACAAGGTTAGGCAAAGTAACAATTTACTTTAATGCCTCCTCAACTCCGCACAAACTCACATTTCCTGCAGACCCCTGCTGCTCCATTCAGTTGATAGAAACAAAGAAAATACTGGTTATGAAGGAGTATGGGACTCCCCTTCCTGTCATCTGATAGCACTGGTTCTTTGTGATTGGCAATTGGCCTAGCATTGTTACATATTGTAAGTCCTCAGCCCTGTGTAAGTTCTGATTTGAGCTACTTGGATCTTACATAGAGCTACTTTTTCTAGCTGCTGGCAGCTGAAGAGTGCCTTATGATCTATTTGACCAGTGTTCATAGGAAATCTTTTCATACACATTAATTATGAGCTGGGCTTACCACCGCTGTTAGATCCTTTTCAGTAACAATTTAGCATTTTCAGTGTGTACAGTATATAGAAACAACGGGTATTTCATCCATTTGGAAATATAACTCCAATCAGTGTTTTGCTATTTATTTTACATTGCAGACAAGCATCTCTTTGGGAGATGAGCATTACTCTCTTTATGTTGCTATAGAGGATTCACCTTGAAATATTACCAGTTGCCCACTAGCATCCCCTCTTTGGTTAAGTGCTTTATTGACCAGCAACAGGGTTGGGGGGGCTTATGTCCAAAATTGAAAAATCAAAACTTCCATAGCAAAGTGTAATCAGCCTTGGGACACAGAGGGAGCTTTTCTAGATGAGGTAGTTATAAAGCACATTGTACTACCTGTTTTAGGTAGAAATTTTAATTTTAGTTAGCGTGAATAACAGGTTCACTAGAAAGGAAAAAAAAAAGTCTAACATTTTCCTATATTACTCACACATCAAAAGTCTTTGTCTGATCTATCGAGCATGAATATCACAGCTGCCAAGTGTTAGCTAGAGATGATGCTATGTGAAATGGCAGGTTAAAAGCTAGTCATTGCTTAATGTTTTATGACACAATACCCTTATCCAAGTTTCCTCTGATCTCAGTGATGTGCACTGAATGGCTGATGTGCTATCATGTCATACTCATAAATACTGCTGCTTGGCACAGTGCTATGAAGACATATAACAGAGGCGTAACTACAACTACAGGGCCCTAATATCTCATAAAACTGCCTTGAATGATATTGTTCAGATGTTTAATAAAATGGGGTATAATTTGTTCTGTTCTGTAATTCAGCTAGACTCTAGAGCTTCACAAACGACAGAACAGAATAAAATGCTGTTTAATTCTTTATATAATTTATTACCAACTGGTGAAAAAGGAAACTTGCATGGAGAAAATGTATAATTCCGTTGCTGACCTTTGCTTCTGAAAATGCTAGTTGGCTGGTTGTCATGTTAATCTAGTGGCTTCAGCATATGCCGAGCCACTGAAAAAAATTTGAAAGAGGAAATGGCCATTAAAGAAACACTCAGGGCTTGCAAAAACTGGAGAATGCAAAATCTGGTGAACAGCTTCCAGGTTTTTTTTTTTTTTTTTTTTTTCAAAGCTTATCTGAACAAGCTGAGGTCGGAAGCTGATTTACTACCATGCACAGCTGCATCAGATTTTGCACTCTCCAGTTTTAGCAAATCAGCCCACAGTGTCCCCTCTTAAAAAGTTTTAATAGAAATATACCAACACCTTTCCCCATGCCTTTTAAAAACATGATAGTGTTGTCTATTACAACCCAAAAAT